AAAGATTTTATTTTTTAAAACTATTTCTTTATATAACTGTCTATCTTCCTTTTCCTCTATCTTCCAAGCCTACGTACATTTTTACATACATTGTAAACTATTTAGGGTTTTATTTAATACGAAAATGTTTTACTGTGAATCTATAATTCTTCTCTGACCAGGAGAGATTTTACGCTGCTGAAATTCTTGGCTAGGGCCAACTTGACAGCCTTGGGTGCTGACTCAGCCCACCTCAGCTTCCAATCATGGCAGATAAATGCTTATCACCAACTCCTGGAAGCAGTATGTCTATGTTTCTAAGAAGTAACATGTTGCCCAGAAACCTCTCTCTCTCTCTCTCTCTTTTTGTCTGTACTAGCAAAAGGTAAATCCATCACGTAGCGTGCTACATTGCTTGCAGAATCCACTGTGTACAGTAGCAGGAATCTGCCTGCTGCACTCAAGATCATATACTATGAATCAACCATTCTGTAGCTTAAGTCTGTATGCCACAGCCTCTCTGTACCTTGGTGTCTCTATATCTCGACCTACATGAGACATGAAGTAGAAACATTTTTGGCTCCATTATTGTGTGTTTAGAAGCCCCTTTCAACTCTTTTCAGCCTTATGAAATTCAAGAGATCTATATTTTTACACCAAGTGTAGTTGGAAGTTTTTCTGTGTCCTGCCTGGCCCATAGTAAAGACAAATCTCTGACCCACAGTCCCTCAGTCTTTTATAAAATAATCACCCAGAAGCTTATATTAATTATAACTGGTCAGCCATTATCTCAGGCTTATTACTGACTAGCTCTTACACTTAACTCATAATTCTTTTTTATGTTTAGACACATGTGGCTTGGTACCTTTTCTCAGTTCTGCCTTGTCATCTTGCTTCCTCTGTGTCTGGCTGCTGACTCCTGACTCTGTTCTTCCTCTTCCCAGCATTCTCCTTGTCTACTCATCCTGCTTATACTTCCTGCCTGGCTACTGGGCAATCAGCATTTTATTTATCAACCAATCAGAGCAACACACATGCACATAATTTAGAACATTTTACAGCACTCTATTCCCTCCCTCAAAATACCCTTTCACCAAGGTCTCACATGCCTCCCACTCTCAAATTGATAACCTCCTCCTCCTGTTTCTCTTCAGAAAATGGAGGGCCTCCCATGGATATCAGCCAGCCATTGTATATAAAATTGCACTGAGACTAAGCACCTCCAATTCTATTAATGCTAGATGAGGCAATCCAGTAGGAAGAATGGGTCCCAAAAGTAGGCATCAGAGCCAGGGACAGCCCCTGCTGTCACTGTTAGGAGTCCCATAGGATCAAGATACACAGCTGTAATATATATGCAGTAGGTCTAGGTTAGTCTCATGCAGGCTCTCTGGTTGTTGGTTCATTAATTTTTTTAGGGGTCAAGTCTAGGCTGATGTGAAAGAACTTTCTTCTTTGGTTTTCTTTGTCAGGTTTTGTTAATAATTTTCTGGTCTGATAAACTATGTTGGGCTATATTTCCTCTTTCTCTAGTTTCATAATGTCTTTATTTCAAATACACAAACATTTGAAAAAAGCTTCGAGAAAGTGAATTTCCAAAGGGGAACTTTTCTATAAAATTGTTCATAGTGCTCTGCTGTTATTACAATTTTAACGAATATAGGGAGGCTGGAAAGGTGGCTCTGTGGTTAACAGCATGCACTGATCTTGCTGAGGATCTGAGTTCAGTTCCCAGCACCCACAGCATGTAGCTCACAAACACATATAACTCCAGCTCCAATGTTCACTCTGGTCTCCATAGGAACCCGCATACACATGGCATAAAACACACAAACACATATACATACACATAGATAAAACACAACACACCTTTAAGAAAATAAAGTGAATATATGTTGTACATATGGGAACTCAGGCAGAAGGACAGCAGGTTGGAGGCCAGCCTTGTTGGGATCACAGGCCTATACCGCTATACCCAGCTTTCATTTATGATTGTTAGTTTATATTTTAAATTGTTTTATTTATTTCTTTGGTGTAAGACACCCAGGTCTTAGGTGGAGGTCAGATAACAATTTGTGGGAGTCAGTTTTCTCCTTCCCCCATTCCTGCTGATTGAACTTAGGATGTCAAGCTTGGTGGCAAGTACCTTTACTGGCCAAGCCATCTCACTGGCCCTATTTTATTTACTTATTATTTGAGACAAGGTTTCTCTATGTAGCTCTGGATACTTGGAACTAAGTATTAGACCAGCTGGCCTCAGATTCAGAGAGACCTGCCTGTCTCTACCTCCTAAGTGCTGAGATTGAAGGCATCACCACCATGCCTGGCTTATTTATTTTAAAACAGTGTCACATGTGTTCTAGGCTGGCCTCTTACTCCTGTGCTAAGAAGGTGAAGATGACCTTGACTTCTTGATCCTCCTGTCCACACCTTCAAAGTGCTGGGATTTCAGGTGTGTACCTCCACCCTGGCCTTTGGTGGGTAATGTGTGAAACATGTCTCATTCTGCAGCTCAGGATGTCATGAAATTCAGTAGGTATGTCAGGTATGTCAAGATAACCACAAAACAAAGGCAAATCTCCTGCCTCAGCCTCGCAGGGGTTGGGATTATGGATCTGTGCAACCAAGCCAGTAAATTTTCTCATTTCACAGCTTTGATGAGTGATGTCATTAAAATTAGTACTCAGTGTGAAACCATTTCCTTCTATTTAGTTTCTCATTTCACATGTTTATTGAGAAATCTGCTTTATTTCCAAAATGTATGATGTTAGTTAAAATGCAGTTGTGTTCCCAAAAGTTCACAGAACCCCTTAGAGGTCTCTGTTAGGTCTCCTAGCAGGCAGAGGGTCATTGCTCCTTGTTACTGGGATCAGAACCTGGTTGAGTGACTGCCAGAGCAGCATATACAGTGGACTCCTCTGGGGCCTCCCCTGCCTGGGAGGGAGGAGATGCAGCTGTCCCCTGTCTGAGTGACCTGATGCACAATTGAACATAGGTCACATCCTGGGGCTCCTCAGATTCAGCAGCCTGGAGTGGGAGAGAGTGAGAGGAAGGTTATGCTTGGCTTGGGGGATGCTGAAGTCCTGGGGAGGACATGACTCACCTGACTGTCCATCTCTCTGTCATCTTCTGCTTGTCCATCTTTGGTGTCCAGGACTTCTCCTGACATGACAGAAGGAAGGACAGCCCCTGCCCTCCTGACCCTGGAGCCTTTCACCTGGGCATATGTCTCTCCCTGGGGGTCTTCCTCAGCTGGTCTCTGTAGCAGGGAAGTAGTGAGGGACAGACAGTGTCTCCCTGTTCCCCTGGGTATCTCTGGCCAGTTTTCCACAGCGAGGCCATAGTGACCCATTTAGATGACAGCATCCCTGATGGGATCTTCTGGGGCTTCCTTCCTACATTTCTGGCCTCTTATCCTGACATTCTAAACCTTGCTGTCTTGGCTGTACTCACACAGCCCATCTTCCTGGAAACACATTTCTGGGGGCTGGAGAGATGGCTCTGTGATTAAGAGCACTGACTACTACTTCAGTGGATCCAGGTTTGGTTCCAAAAACCCACATGGCAACCTGCATTCATCTGTAACTCTCATTCCAGGGTACATGGCATTCTCTCCTGTCCTCTGGAACACCATGCAGGCATGTGGTTCAGAGACATACATGCTTGTAAAACATCCACACACACAATACAAAACCCCACCTTTCTGAAGTCCCTTTGGTTCCTGCCTATAGCTGCTACTTCCATAAACATTTCTGTGGGTTTTCCCTTCCAGGCTGCCCCTCAGACGACAATCAGACAGATGCCAAGAAGCCAGAAAGGGGACAGGATCGATGAGTCACATGATCCCGGGAAAACCAGGAGAGAGTGAGGCTTTGGTTGCTTCTGAGAGCCAAGAGAAGGAGAACAAAAAAGGCTCTCTGGACTAAACTGGGCCCTAAGTTCTTAGCACTGCAGATAGGGACAGAAACCTCACCCAACTGTCCAGGTTGGCACGATCCTCAGGCTGAGTGTCCTTCACTGAAGTGTCTGTCAGAAGAACAAACAGAATGTCTCCTGACCAGAGTCTAGGGATGACTCTGACCCTTAGGTTTGTATTGCCCCAGGTGCGGATAGAGAATTGGGGAGTGTTGTGATATCCTTGTGATATCCTTCATCTATAGGATGAAGTTCAGACCCAAATAGTAAAGAACCCAGAGCCTCTCCACCACCCCTGCAATGCTGAGTCCTCAGACATCTCCCTCCCCAGGACCCTCTTTATCTCACAAAGGCTTTCTTCCTGGGTGGCAGCAGCTGGATTGGATCTGGAGAGACAAGAAGATGTCAGTTGTCAGTGAGGTGTGTCAGGAAGATGGGGTCTATGTCTCTGGTCATGAGTTACCTCTTCTGGGAGCCTCTGTCTCTGGTTACAGGCTCTGCAGCTCCTGTAGGAATTTGCAATTCTGTATCTTTCTGGGCTGCAAGAGAGAGAAGAGTCTCAGCCTCCCTCTGCCCCTATGCATGTACAGGGAAGGAAGGAAGGAAGGATGGAAGGAGAAAAGGAACCTTTACACAATGGGTGAGTGAGCAAGTCCCAGGACATGGTGAAGCTCACAGAACACATGATATTACACACATTCTGCGATCATGATCTTTCTGATCTGAGATCTCCACGTATTTCTAAACTACCCAGCCCATTTGAGGCTTCCTTGGGGCTGGTGTCCTGATCCCCTGCTTGGCTCTTCACAGGGGAACCTGAGACCCAGGTCACCCACACCCTACTCACCATCCTTCCTTAATTTTCCCTGATGCCTTCGTCGGAGAAGGAGGAAGATGAGGATGAAGAGGAACAGGAGGAAGCCCATAGAGACTCCGGCCAGAGCCTTCAGGTACCCTTCCAGTCCTGAGACACAAGTGACGTCATGAGAGGGGAATGTTGCTACTGAACTGAGTACCTACTGTGTGACAGACGCATGCTGGGTCTTTGCACTCATCATCTCCTCTCCTCACAATCATACAACAAGGAATTGTCTCTTTTTCTACCCCACAGTTCACCTGCCTCAGATCACCTGACTGTAAGTGGCAGAGCTAGGAGTCGAACCCAGGGATTCTTTTTTAAAAATTTATTTATTTATTTATTTATTTATTTATTTATTTATTTATTTATTTATTTATTTATTTATTTATTATGTTTACAGTGAGTGTTCAGCCTATAAGCCAGAAGAGGGCACCAGATCTCCTTATAGATGGTTGTGAGCCACCATGCGGTTGCTGAGAACTGAACTGAGGACCTCT